TGGGTGGTCCAGGACATAGTCTAATGTAAGTTAGGATACCTGGATATCAAAAAAAAATAAAAATAATAAGACCTAATTTATGACCTTTATTTTTTCGGAAGAGCTGGTGAAATAATTGTTGATAAAAGAATAAGCATGGTCACCATCGACTTAACACAAAATTAGAATGGAATTTATGCAACCGAAGTCGAGGTTTTTATTTATACAAAGCTGTACCCATAATTTTATTTTATTCTTTAACCGTAGGATGATAAGACTTGAATGCGAGACTTTTGTCTGTTTTGATAATTTATTTTTACTTTATATTTTTTAAATTTTTAGCCCAATGAGTGTTGCTTAAATACCCTCACTTGTCCGGTAAATGCTCCTGCTAAATGTAAGGCTTAGATCGCTCCAATTTGACTATGTTGACTTCAAAAATTTGATCAACTTTGTTCCAAGAATAAAGGTTGATGGTTGACGGTGCTGAGCACTCCGACAATCAAGTCAGCGGGTGGAAAAAATAAGAACAAAAAATTCACGCCTACGAAAAAGACAAACGAAAGGAGATTGTTGCTATTGTTTTTTCTATCATTATATACGTGATCTTTGAAGTTTGAACTATGCTTGCAGATTTTAGGCGAACCTCAAGGTTAAAATTATGTTAACGATGTTGCAGACCTAATTTAATAAATTTCATACGTAAAGAGAAGCTGTCGAAGCTGCCATAATACAAAAACTAAACATTCAAGGCAAGGAGCTTCGTCTACCGGCTCTTGTCCTCGAACTTAATAGAGTTCGTCATATCCATTTATACTCGTGTGAGGTTATTAAGTGGGTGAAGCTTGATCAAGGTGACTTCTGTACAAAAACCATGCGAGTTGCGGAGTGATGTCGTTACAAATGTGAAGCTGATAGATCCTATCCCCTCATTGCCATGGGGCAAAGCGCATGATCATAATCAAGCAAGGCTTCCATGTGATATGATGACATTAGCCTATGTGACCTCCACGCGAATTAAAGGTGCAATAGACTCGATATAGATATATTGGTCATCGATGTTTACTATACATTCTACTTCGACCTCTTGTTTGAACAAGTTCTTAATCATTCAAGATCGAATCAAATACAAAATCGAGAAGTACTTTATATATATTGAGACCATCTAAAATTTTAATATGCTAGAGAATGCTAGCTCCAACACATTTATTCAATATAAATCTTTGTATTTAACATGATTTTTCACGCGTAGGCCAAAACGGAACGTGTGCATCACTTTTCCTAGTTGTATTTAATATGGATATTACAAATGAAAACCTATAGCATATTTTGAAAAGTTTCCGAGCAATCAATCAGCACGAAACACATAAACTATCTGATGAAATAGGGTAAGAAGACCTAAGAGCCAGGAAAGGTCTCCTCTCGCAACAAAGTTTGACAAAACTACATTGTTTTAATACTTTGTAATACGAAAGAAAGAGACCTTAATGACTTTTGATTTCCTATAATATATTAAGCAACCTGTCATTTTCTCAAATGCACTTTCTTGTAAAATAGGTCGCAAACAGACATATTAGCTGTTGAAATTATAGTCCTAATCCCTCAAACCACAAGTTATCTTAACTAATTGTCAACCCCATTGTCTTAACAAACCCATCTCTTTATTGGCATCCAAGATTTTCACTTGGCCCTTATCATTAAGCATTGGAACATTCATTTGCCTTTTTCCCTCTCTCTCTACCAAAAAATTTATGCCCATTTAAGTGCATTGCATTCTATTTATAATTTAAATTTGGATTAAGATTCCAACATTTTTCTTTCCCCTCTATTACCTTTAGAACAGATTTCGTGTACATTACTCTAATGTACGGTACGATGCGTAAATTTTAACTTATTTTCCTTATTTAGTTCTATCCAATACAGCATAATAAGCATCCTATATTAAGTATTCGTTTCTAATGAAAAATAATTGTTCGATAGAGGAATACTAGACCGGTCCTGGCAATGGATTGACCAAAGTTTCGTTTTCGATATCAACTGTAACAAAGAAAAAGTAATCCGTTACCACTTACTAGTACTCTCTCAATTGGCATTTGGTAATAAATACTGCTATCTAGCAAATAACCATACTTAGCACTTGTCTAGGTAGCATGATACTATTGTCCAATAAATGAAAATACAACACAACTTTATTACAGTGTGACAGCATGAGCAAAGTCAAAGGTACGTGAAAATTTGACCTTTATTTGATGAGTGCAGTGTATTAGGTACATACACACAGAACATTTGGATGTTGATGGTGTCATGAAATTGACTTCAAGATTTGTTAATCTAAGTTGTTGATTGAAGGCAAGCAAAGTTGGAAAATATAATCCAAAATACCTAATCTTATTGCCGTGAAAAGTTATTATAGATTAGAGTCCCATTTATACATACTAAAGGAGATGGGAAAATACATCAGAATAAACGTGGCTATTACATATCCAAGAAGACTCTTTAAAGTACTCAATCAATTATCGAAATACCAGTAGACACTTGACTAAAATGAAGTTTAGTACATGACTCTTGGAAAACTTCAATGATCATAATTTGGTTCATTTTCCAACATTGCCTTCTGTAAACCAAATTTACTTTTCATTCCAAGTCTAGCGAGTTGTTTTTTGAAGCTTTGACCTCCAAATGGTTTTGTAAAGCTATATGCTACTTGAGCTTCTCTTCTGCAATATTTAACTTGACTTATTCCAACATGAACGAGTTCTCTCAAGAAGTGATACCTCATACAAACGTATTTAGTCATTCTGTGTAGAACTTGTTCTTTTGTAATAGAAATTGAAGAATTGGTGTCTCACAAAAGAGATGTAGGAACATTCTGTTTGTGTTTAGATTATCCAAAATGCCTTGCAACCAGCAAAAGATTCTGCAATATATTCAGTTTTCGTTGTTGAAAGAGCAACAATTTGTTGTTTCTAGGAACTCCAACAAATTACTCTACTTTCAATACTAAAACCATAACCCGACATGCTTTTACTATCATCAACGTGTCTTGCAAGATCACTATCAGTGTATCCAAAGAGAGTAGTTTGAACATTTGCTTGATAAAAAAAATAACATAATCGATTGTCCCATTCGCATATCGTAAAATTCTTTTAGCAGGTTCCCAATGTTCTAATTATGGTGCAGTTCCATGAAACTACTTATAAACTCACAGTGAACATGATGTCGAACCTTGTAGCTGTGAGGTACATATGGCATTAACAAACTTCCCTTCTCCTCCTTTTCGTAGTATATGTCTCATAATGCATGGAGTTGACACAAGTTTTGCAAGTTCCATCTTAATTATTTTTTCAAATTTTCTCTTGTATACTGCTCTTGAATAATAAAAATTCAACCTTTTGATTGGCGTACTTCAATGCCCAAACAATTATG